TTTTTTTTTTTTTTGCATACTGTGTAATTCAAACTTTGCTTCACTTATAAGAGATGTATCAGTAGCAAGTATCAAAGCTGCTCCTGCTTTTTGTTTGAGGAAAAAAACTCATCTATTCAAAAGATGAGTTAAAGTTAAGAAAACAACTTAGTTATTTGTCATAGAACTACGAAAAGAACCAAGGCCCAACCTTATCCATGAAAAAAATAATCTTCAAGGATTCAAGTAGCATCTTCAAACTGAAACATGTTACATGTTAAAAGAACGATTAACACACAAAGCTTTTTCAAAGCTCTCGTTCACTGTGAGGAAAGACAATTACTACACATAAATTAAATACTTAAGATTATAATTGTTACTGTTGAGATAAAGGTTAAAAAACCAAGCATACCGTAAGATGTTTCACATAGCTTTTGGTCACCGTGTTCCAAGTTTAGCATGAACCAAGCTGATCAGAAAACAGATGCTCTTTTTCCAAAGTCAGGTCTGAAGTTTGTTTCTGAGGAAATGCTTCAAAGAGAAGCATTTTCTCTTTCAATAGAAAATGTGCTCAGGTAAATAAAATAACAGTAATAATTGCCAAGTGCAACCAGCCCCAAATGATTACATATTCCTTTTACAAAATAAAATTATTTTTTCCATAGGAAAGGCCTGTTTTTTAAGTTTTACCTTTCTTTAGTCATCAAGTCATCTTGATTTATGAATGCCACTGAGACCTAAAACAAAGCACGTTTAAGAAAACTGCTTCAGTGGTTTTAATGGTATGAGCATTTAAATGCAGCATAGGAAGCCTCTGGAGTTTAGATCAGTTTAGTGCAAGAGCTCTGTGTGGACACACGTTCTCCTCAGATTGAGCTCATGTTACTCATTTACAAGCCACACACTTGAAAGAGCTGCTCAGAAGTGAACTGATGGAGCATCAAACTAGGGGTACACACACCGTCCTCTAAACCCCAGCTACAGCTAAACTGCTGTAAGAACGTGAAGGAGCTTTACCTTAAATTGCCAACATGGGCAAATCCCATTTCTCCAACCCTGCAGCTCAGAGGATACTTCCATCAGCAGAATTACATTTTTTGTTGTTCTGAGACAAGATGGGAGTGGGAG